TTTGGCTGCGGCTTCGCGACGAAGCATCGTAGAAGCATAATCTTAATGTCATTTTAAAGAGCGAATTCTAGTCTATCGTTTGATGTATAAATTGAAAAAATAACTTGCTTATTTCATTTTAAAAAGTCAGTTTTTAAACTTTAAATGACGATATATACACGAAAACAAACTAATTCTGTTTCAATCTTTACACCGATGTAAAGTTCACTTTTATAACTACTTCAAGTCTTTCTGATTTACGTACCCTCGATAAGCATATAACCCTCGAGTCAACTTTCAGCCCCGAGTGAGTTGCCCGCAGAACGGTTTTAAAGGTTGACGACCGATGATGCTAAACGGATTTTACCCTTGATAGAGCCTTCAAACTAGTTGTAAGTATCATTTTTAAAGTTTCATTTCCATGTTAATAAATGAATTTTAAGTTTGAATGTCAGTTTGGTTTAATTAGCACACGTTATTAATGTAAATTTGAACGCTACTAGTCCACTGTTTTAGCGTGTGAACTACGCTTGTACACATGGTGTGTTTAAACGTGAAGCTATTTAATTCAGGACATTCTAGGGACTTAAAATATGGATGCACTTAACTATTAGATGCTAGTGTTTACTAATTCTTTAAAATCTATCGAATGGGATTAATGATAGGGTCGTATTACTACAGTTTATCTGGACTATCGCGTCAAAATTATGAATCGACAAATTCAAAATGGCCACCAGACATTTGTGGTTACTATGTGGACGAACTCAATTATTTACAGGGAACGAAGGTTAAATACTTATAAAATATTATTGAAACACAAAAGAAACTTATAATTATAATAACTATACATTTTTATCAATTTATTTAAAACAAAAGACACTAAATTTTAAGGACTAATGTGATAAATTTTAATTTTCTGTTGTGCACTTTGATTCTGATTCCCCTGCTGAATAATGTGAAATGGTCTGCGCCTGTCTCCTTAATAAAATGTACCAGATCAATTTTTAGATGGTGGTGCAATTTAGTAAGATTGTACATGTTGTGACTTAGTTTTAAATGTTATATTAGTTGTAAGTGTAAGTAGTACTAGTAGTTTTTCTCATTATTTATTTATTTTATATGCATATAGTAACACTGAAGGACAGTTAATTTGTCATATATGATGTTGAGAACCACAGTATGGCATCTTCATCATTGGATATCTCAACCATTGTGGCACAAACAACGAATATTTCATTCAATAGAATTAATGTTCAAAATATACTATCAAGTATAAATTACTTTAAACAAAAAGGTGTTTTCAGGCTTTTTCATGTTTCCAGCTACAGTCACAGGACAAATAGTAGGCCTACACAATAGGCTAGTAGTAAATCTAATTATAATTTATTAATCACTAAATCAATTATTTATTCCATAGCTGGAGACATTTATGGTGGCCTATCCAGAACTTTCCTTATAAGGGAAGGGAAGAAGGCCAAGCCCCCCCCCCCCCCAACTACAGTTCCCAAAACATATCACTTACTCTTGATGCTCCACAAGATCAAGGTTGGGGGAAACAAGACATACAAAGATGTGGAGTTGTCGTTTTAAAAACTGTTCCCCCAAAGCAGTTATCAACCCAATAGGTTTGAATGTAGCAGCAACTGCTGCATTACTTGTAGGCATCACGTCTTTATTAGATTACATTACAACTCCACTAAATTTTGATTCTGTTTCTCCTGCTCTAGATAACTGTGGCATTTTTTTAAAATAATATTTTAACTCATGTGATTTTTGAAAATAATGAACACATTCTTCCTGCTAATGTTACCAACACAATAGTTTTAGAGTTATTCTATGTCCAAAGCAAAAAAAAAAAAAAAAAAAAATTATAAAAATAAAAGTGACCAAAACGCATTTTTGTCATTTTCAATTATTTTTTTTACCTTAGAAAGACTCATTTTAGATGACTGAAAAAAATTGGGCATATATATTACAAACTTTGCAGTAACTTTACCAATTTCTACACTTCTATGTTATTTAGTTTAGCAAATATGGGTTCTCAAAAATGGCACTTTTTAAAAATCAGTTTTTTACCAAATTTTGCTTTTTTAAAAATCGCATAACTTTTTTATTTATTAAGATATTTTTATAAAATTTGTGGCATAGAGCTTACAATTAAAAGTTCTTTCATGACATAATCACTCCAGAAGTCTGCAATCAATAGTTAATTTCAGTTTGGACTACCTAGTATAAACAAACTAACTGTAAGCCTGTAACATTTTAAGTAACCTGTAACATTTAAGGTGACACAGTAGCGTTACAGGGCTCGGGTCTCACAATTTAGGCGTGACATCTTTACGAAAACTCGTAAAATTTACTGTCAAAACTTGTTTTATTCAGTGAAATAATACAATATTAAGGAGAGGGGATAACACTCCAGAGGAAATGCAAAACTGTTAGACGGGGTGGAGGTTACACTTACTAAACGCACCGGGTGATATCGAACCTTGTGACGCTACTAACCAACTACAAATTTTTAAAAGTTGCTCATAATTTATTTAGATTTTTGTTTTATAAGTTTGAAAAGTGATTAATATGTTCCTTGAAGTCCAATTTAGCTGCTTATATATGTTTGATACTTAGGATGGCCAAGTTACTGACCCAAAGGGCTTATTTACAACTTGTTTCATAACACCATAATAATGGAGAGACTCGGGTCGCCTAATGTATACTACTCCCGAGGTGGCTGAAGGACACCCTTTATTTTCTTTAGCCATTGATTATAGTAGCCCTCCGTATCCTTGGGGCATGGCGCTCATTAAATCAAGTGTATGCGCCTTAGTGATGAGGTGAGCTAGGGACGCCAGCTGATTCACCTGTGCAGTTTGAGCGTTGAATTAAGCAGTAACCCTGACCCCTTGAGCAGGACACCCAATTAACTGACCCCAGGTGCTAAGAATGCCGCTGGGAAACTTTGGGTGGCAAACCGAACTGCCTTACTGTCAAGGGGCCGTTCTCCGATCGAAACAAAAAAAAAATTTAATGGCAGAAAACTTTGCAGGAGTTTCTTTTTGGCTTCTCTTCGAGGGGAAGTCACTGCTCCTCATGTGTGGGGTTGTGGTAGGAAATTTCACTGTCAGTAGATGTTTGTCTGAACTATTCTAAACGACTTCCCAGTGTTTCTTGGTGATTGGATTATTTGTGTATTAATGCATAAAGGACAATGAGACAGACAAACAAAAATCTTTAAGTAGCGGCATATTGATTGGAGATAAATTAGATCAACAAACAAATTGTGATTACGGTTAAAACTAGCATAAAAACATTGACACATTTTCGAATTAGCTTGATGTGAAGACACTCTCTACGGCTGTTAACCAAAAAATGGCTCAATTGTAATCATGGATGGATGGAATTTCGTTGGAGACAGAGAGTTGAGAGAGGAAGGGGGTGCAGGTTTGTGGCGGTGGAACCTTCTCTTGTGAGACCTCAATCATGACCGGTAATGTAATACGTGGACGCTCTATAAACACAAACCTCATTAACGTAGTACTTGAACTTAGTTACCCTTTCCTTAGGGTATAACAGCATGTAGCCTTAGATTTAATAAATACACCCTTTACTTCACCCCACAACTGCCATCCTCCACAAAGCTCCACCCTACTGAGCGTCCATGATTACATTTTAGTATCATTTCTTTTGCATATCCAAAAACATAGTTTGTTTTCACAATTCGTAACCAGTGTATATTCACGATTCAAGCTAAGTCCATAAGCTATCAATCTTTTTCTATTTCATTTCAACTTTAATTACTTTAGTTTTGTTTATTCTGTAATTTGTCTACAATTCTGTGCTTATTAACACTCTTTTTTTTTAGATAAATCTCAAAGGCATTAATTTATATATTAACTATTAGTCATTAACAATTTAAACAACTTTATTAGCTTAATTTTATTTATGTTAATTATATATATATATATATATATATATATATATATATATATATATATATATATATATATATATATATATATATATATATATATATATATATATTGTTGGCCCTAGGCCTTGCATATTCCTAACGCCGGCTCTGGGTGGAGAAAAGAGTTTTTAGCGATACGTATAAATTTGCGGGTGCCGGATGCCAATCTCACAACAGAGTCAATGTTCAAGTTTATGTATAGGCTAATTCTCTCATCCGCGTGCCCGACAATGCAACAATGCCTATAGTGTTAGTAATACCGATGGGCCCTGTACAACCCTTCCCTATTGAAAGATCTGATGGCCTTTTTTTGGAAATTTTGATTACTTTTACAGTAGAAAAAAAAACTGAATTTCCTTTTTCTTTTTAATTTTTTTTATAACACAAAAATAAAAATTCCAATGTAAAAGTTTAAAAAAAAAAGAAAAGGGCCCCTATTTGCCTTGAGTCCCTATGCCTTGCTTACGCTAGCTTTACGGTAGCTACGCCACTGATAATTCACTGATCAGCACGTACAGATGAGCCCTACACACCTGAACACATGAGCACATTCTACATGCGCCGTTATTTAAATTTCTAATTTTAAAACGTGGTTATTTTGAGTTTATTTCTTGAAAAAAAAACTAGATCAAAATCTACTTCATTTTAGGCTTTGAAACAAAATAATGACGAAGTCCTACTATTATTTGGCTGCCCGATCTATCAGGGCCTAGGTCTACACCAGGGGTCTCCAAACTTTTCAGTCCGAGGGCCGCATTAACTATCAAATTTCAGTTTGGGGGCCAGTTTTTTCTGGGCAAAGTTCCTCAACAATCACCGACAAACGATTTTTCGTTGGACAAAAACATCTCCGCGGGCCGGATGAGAAGACTTCGCGGGCAGCATCCGGCCCGCGGGCCGTAGTTTGGAGACCCCTGGTCTACACACAATTTATTTTTTCATTATTAAAAATAATATGGCGCCAAATTACAGTATTTCCGGTGGTTTCCGGAACGGCGTGACAGACAACTCAATGGTTTTGTTTTTTACTGCTGTATCATTACGGAATAATAACCGACGCTAGGCCTGTAAGTTCTAGAGCTAGATCTAGACTAGACTAGATCTAGATTCTATAACTAATCTATAGACGTAAGATTACCCAAGTTTGTATTGCTAATTATTTTTATGTTTTTTTTTTGGCTAAATATTTCTGCTACTAAACATTATCTAGATCTAGAGGTCTAGACTATTCTAGACTCTAGTCTAGATTCTAGATCTAGTCCTTTTTTGCCATTTTCGTAATAATTTTATTTAACTTTTAACTAGATCTAGAGATCTTCCAGAGTCTAGATCTAGAGATTATTCTAGATCTAGGCCTAGACTTAGCAGCTAACGAGATTCTAGTCTAGAATCTAATCTAGATCTAGAATCTAGACTTAAAAAAATCTAATTCTAAACTAATAATTTAATTTAGGCCGCACTCCGCGTTACGCTAAATCTTTATTCTTTACCCTAGGTGGCACGCGATCTGACAAAAAAAAATTGATATCATTATCAGGACTGGTCGAATTTTTTTTTCGTCTTAGAAATTTAATATTTAATGTTGACATAGATCTAGATCTGGTACTTGTAAAAAAAACAGTATTGGGTCAGATGATAGTCCTAGATCTAGCAGCAATCTAGCTAAATCAAACTGCCCTTTACTGCCTTTAGTAAATTGTTTTTACAGCTATCTAGCATGCGTGATAGTAGATCTGAATTCTCAATCTGTATTATTAAGCCTATGTGAACTTTTCAATTTGCTTGGGTGGGGGGGGGGGGGGGGAGGAGAGAAGTGAAGTGGAGACACAGACTATCTTAGTATCTTGTAAACTTGTGTTCATTTTATGACGTATGCTTTGGGCCTGCTGAACTCACAGGGACCTCACCGACCAGGGGCCTTAGTGGGATTTTCCACTCACTGGATAGTAAACGTAAGCAAGCAATCATGCCAGTGATGATGCTTGGAAATTTTATTTAAAAAAATCACACGTCATGTTTTCAATATGAAAAAAATAAAATGTAAAAAAAAGACACTAGTACCGGTCGTGATAACCCCGGGTAGTCACTTCGAATAATTTATTAATTTATAACTAGATCTAAATTGATTATCACAAATCCTCTGGAAGTCAAAAAATTAATCAAAATTACTGAATGTTTTAAACTACTAAACAAAATACATTTGACTTGATTATTTATATCTTTTTTAAAATTTTATCAAATAGTTTTAAAATGTACTATTATTTTATTCCTATTTATGTCAATTAAACTTAAAGAATTAATTGACTACAATCGACTTTATTTATATTTATACATTTCAATGGTTAAATAAACCATGGTTTACCGTTAATTATGTTTACAAAACTCAACAAATATTACCAGATAATTTCCTGTGCTAAACTAAGGTTTTACCTTAACTCCACTTTTGAGGTTTTAGCCTAGACTGACCTAGACTCTATAATTATCAGAATAGATCTAGATTCTATAGTTTGGTGATGTTACTGGTTTAATTTTAATTCAAGTGAACACCACACTTAATTACGCAACTAATATAACATGACATTTTGTGATCATTTAGGCCTACTATTAGGCCTACTTTTTCACTAAGGCATTATAAGGTTTTAGGACGTGTATACGATAAGCCATAATATATCAAGATTCTACTACCATACTAGATTCTACGATACATTTGAAAAGATAAATTGGAAAAAAAAATACTTCAAAAAAAGCAAAAAAGGAGTGATATTTCACATCTTAGAACGCCAATTTAATGTAGATTTACAAGTATATTTTAAATCTAGCTCAAAGTGTTAAACTACTACTTACTACTTACTTCAATGACTAAATGTTGAATAATTTAGTAGCATTACTCACTTCATTTTTAATTATTTCCTATTTTATTGTATTTTGTATGGGGAAGTATAATCTATATCCACAATATTTAATAAATTGTCTGTCAACTGACAGCAGACCTGAAATAACCTCTGAACCCAAAAAAGGGTTAGGGTTTGTTGCAATGTATTGTTTTTGATTAACAAGGAAAGAGGCATTCTCAGATTAATGTTACTATTATTATAATGTGAGGCTAGGGTCGGCGTGGCCTAGTGGTAGAGAGCTAGACTGCTAACCTGAGAGTCTTGAGTTCAAATCTGGGTTCCTTCAGTGGAACGTCCCTGAGTGAGTCCCTAACTTGCACTAAGGAAACCACAGTGGCTGGGCATAGTGCTGACCATACTATCCCTCCATATGCCGAGGTCAGTGAATCAGATGAACTCTTTATCTACCCCATGTGTCTTGGACACAAACGGGATTAAGAAAAAGATTATGATGAGAGGCTTAATTGATTTTTGTTCAAGTTGTGCCAAAAGTAAATTCTATTTCTGGGTTTTGATTATAGCTCAGTCTGAAGTTAAACTTCCAGTTCTGGTTAAAAATTTGGTTGTGGTTAAAGATACCCGATTTGGTTTGAAGCCCCAATTCTGGTAATAGTTTCTTTTACGGTGATGGTTTAGGTTAAGAAAAAAGTGTAGACTTTAGCAAAGAGTAACAGAAACTTTATCAGACTTGCACCCATTTTATTTTTCCTTTACTCTAATTATCTAGATTGTATTATGACTCGTAATTACTATCATACACTTTTTTTTTATTACTGATTATGTCAGATGTTGAAGAGAAAATAAATAGATGAAAAACCAAATACTTTTTAAGTAAAAATCTAATATTTACTTGTTTAGAACAGGATTCTGACATTTTCAGGTTACTATGGTGACAAGTATGCAGAGATGTAACAACCCATTCTGGCCCCCTTCAACTTTTTTTTCATGTTGTCAAAAAAAGAGCTTTGCCCCTTTTGGTAAGTTTGGGGATGTTTTTTCCAGTAACGGTCCTAAACAATATGTATTTTGATGTCACAATTGATGTAAAAAGCCAAGTAGCAGTCTATAATCTTAACAGCTCAAATTCCCTAGCTACGCCTCTGCAGCTGTTTCAGTAGACCAGAGTAGAACAGTATTTTTATAGTTTCAGGTGTACTATGTTGACAGCAATGTTTGAGTTGACTAGTATAGACATTTGAAATTTTTAGGTGTGTTATGGTGACAGCTATGCCAGAGACCTGGGCATACAGGTACAGAGGGTTGGTGGTGTAAACAAGAACAGTTTAACAAACATGGAGAGCAATGAAAGTGGTAAATACATTTAATTAGTTCTTTATAGTATAATGGGCTTTTTAATTTTCTACATGAGTCTCTTATTCTGTATTGTTAATGTTGATGATTGTCATGTCCACTAATATCACTTAAGTGTAAACAAGACATCACAAGATTAATGTCTAGTCTTCTGAGCAATGTCTTTAAATTTGTCTTAAAATTAAAAAAAATGCAAAAAAATTCCACAGGTATCTATCCATGTCAGCAATGCAGAATTGCTTTTACACAACTTTCTTATTTGCAAGCACATTTGAAGTACCAACATGGCAGGGATATAATTGTCAACAGGAGCTCAGATCTCATTGATAATTCTAGTCAACTTTCTTCCCAGTCATTAAACTTTCATCAACACCATATCATTTCTACAGTAGAAAAGCCTTACAAATGTGAACAGTGTGATAAATGTTTTCTTAGGCGTGGTTCATTAAACAACCATCTTAGAATTCATACAGGAGAAAAACCTTACATATGTGATAAATGTGGTAAATGTTTTACAACAGTTACACAATTAAAGAGACACTTAAGAATTCATACAGGAGAAAAACCTTACATATGTGATAAATGTGGTAAATGTTATACACATTATACCAGTTTACAAAGCCACCTAAGAATTCATACAGGAGAAAAGCCTTACAAATGTGACAAATGTCATAAATATTTTGCAGAAGGTAGCTCTTTAAAAAAACATTTTAGATATCATTCAGGAGATAAGCCATACAAGTGTGACAATTGTGATAAATGTTTTAAGGATAATGGACAGTTAAACAAACACTTAAGAATTCATACAGGAGAAAAGCCTTACAATTGCAATGAATGTGGGAAATGTTTTACCCAACACACCAATTTACAAAGCCACCAAAGAACTCATACAGGAGAAAAGCCTTTTAATTGTGACAAATGTGGTAAATGTTTTGCAGAAGGTAGCTCTTTAAAAAAACATCTTAGATATCATTCAGGAGAAAAGCCATACAAGTGTGACAATTGTGGTAAGTGTTTTGCTGAATATGGTCTCTTAAAGAAACACTGTGGAATTCATACAGGAGAACTGCCTTACAAGTGTGACAATTGTGGTAAGTGCTTTGCTGTTTATGGTTTCTTAAAGAGACACTATAGAATTCATACAGGGGAAAAGCCTCACAAGTGTGACAAATGTGGTAAATGTTTCACACAGCGCACAACTTTACAAGACCATCTTAAAATTCACATAGGAGAAAAGCCATACATGTGTGACAAATGTGGTAAATGTTTCACAATACAGCATGGATTACAGAAACACCTTAAAACTCATGCTGAAGAAAAGCCTTACAAATGTGACAATTGTGGAAAATGTTTCAAACAGCTTCCACAGTTACAAAGACACCAACAAGTTCATACAGGAGAAAAGCCTTACATATGTGAGAAATGTGGTAAATGTTTCAGAGAAAGTAACGGATTACAGAGCCACTTTAGAATCCATACAGGAGAAAAGCCTTACATGTGTAAGACATGTGGCAAATGTTTTAGAGATCGTCGACTTTTGAAAAGACACCTTAGAATTTATATAGAAGAAAAACCACACGTTTCACAAGCATAATGAAAGTTTCACACAGACTTTAAATTTTCAGAATTCACATTTAATACATGTATAAATGTTTCATTTGAAGTATTACATTACAAAGCCACCTTAGTATTAAAAAAGGAAAAAATCCTTACAAATGTGGTAATAGGTGAATGTTTTGCACTGAGAGTTGTCTGAAAGAAACTGTTTTAACCATCAAAGAACCTACAAATGAAATCGGTCCTTAGAAATTTATTTGAGATTTGACATATTTTTAGGGATTTTAGAACTGCACTATTCTAAGGATGGCCTGTATCTGTTAATTATTGTTGAAATTTGAATTCTTATATTTAATTCTAATTGTTGTTAAGTGTTAACATTAAATTTTTAAATATCATGAGTTTTCTTTGATATTTTGTTTATTGACCCAGCTTGCCTGTACTTAAAACATCTGACCAATTTTAGTCACATTGATGAAGTTTTAGATTAATGCAGATGGGTAATCAAGTTGTATAATTTTAATTAGAGGAGATGGATGGCGCCTTAAGTGCCAACAAAATATCTTCTGGCTCTTTCCATGATATAGCAAGAAATAAAAGTCACTAAGACCTTGTTTTCTGTCCACATGAAGGCCCTCTATGATCAAACAGAAATTCACACAGCTAGGGCAGCAAATCCATTTCACAAATTATTTGTTTAAGAGGCAGTATAATCTATCTAAGTTCACCATGGGATAAATGGTGTAAACCTGGGAAAAGAAGGCACTAATTTACTATCTGCTAACCAAACCATCGCTGGTGGTGTTGTCTTTATATGAATATTGAGGATTCTTGTTTAGTGCTTTTATCAGGAAAGGGGGGGGGGGAGGTCACTACTGGACAGCCTTGGTAAGTAATCTTTGTAGTCTAACAGTCTAGTGAGCTCTACATATAAAGGGAAAGTGTTGTCAGCAATATATACCCAGCTTCCTTTACATCAGCACTATGCCCAGCTTCCTTTACATCAGCACTATATGCCAGCTTCCTTTACATCAGCACTATATGCCAGCTTCCTTTACATCAGCACTATATGCCAGCTTCCTTTACATCAGGACTATATGCCAGCTTCCTTTACATCAGCACTATATGCCAGCTTCCTTTACATCAGCACTATGCCCAGCTTCTTTTACATCAGCACTATGCCCAGCTTCCTTTACATCAGCACTATATGCCAGCTTCCTTTACATCAGCACTATGCCCAGCTTCTTTTACATCAGCACTATGCCCAGCTTCCTTTACATCAGCACTATATGCCAGCTTCCTTTACATCAGCACTATATGCCAGCTTCCTTTACATCAGCACTATGTGCCAGCTTCCTTTACATCAGCACTATATGCCAGCTTCCTTTACATCAGCACTATATGCCAGCTTCCTTTACATCAGCACTATATGCCAGCTTCCTTTACATCAGCACTATGCCCAGCTTCCTTTACATCAGCACTATATGCCAGCTTCCTTTACATCAGCACTATGCCCAGCTGCCTTTACATCAGCACTATATGCCAGCTTCCTTTACATCAGCACTATATGCCAGCTTCCTTTACATCAGCACTATATGCCAGCTTCCTTTACATCAGCACTATGCCCAGCTGCCTTTACATCAGCACTATATGCCAGCTTCCTTTACATCAGCACTATATGCCAGCTTCCTTTACATCAGCACACAGTGCCCAGCTGCCTTTACATCAGCACACAGTGCCCAGCTGCCTTTACTTTCAGGTATCCATTAGAGCTGAGTGGACTAAGTAACGTTCTATGGACACGATTGTACCCAGGATTCAAATTGAATGCTTTTATTATTTTAGCATCATATTCTCTAGCTGTCAGACCATGCTGTCCTATCTGCCTAGGTTTGGTAGCTTGATGTCAATATTTTTTGTGGAATGTTCATTTCCTTGATTGCGGAGACTGTCGGGGTAGTTGATGCTGATATTCCAGCCCACAGCAATGTAGTCTGTCCCCTTTCTCCATGGACATAATTTTTGTAAGGATAATTATAAATTACAGTCTTCATTTGATCTTGTATAAGTTAAACTTTTTACATACAAAAATAATAAGTAAATTTATCCTCTACCGTTTAAAAACATCATTAATCCTAACCCAGTACACTAAATCAAATGCTTAACCAACAATACAACTACAAACCCACGACACTGTCAGGTTATTTACCTATACATTTTAAAATTGTAGTAGTCTATATATAAATAACATGTTTATGTAAGCAGTAGTTATAAATATGATGAAAGACAAATGACAGATACTACAGGTAATAAGAGGTGATTTGGTGAAGTTGCAGGCAGTAAGAAGATGATACAGAAGGTTATTAAATAAGTTTACACACAACAGTTTAACTTTTAAAATAAAATGATGAAACTATCAGTAGTTAACCATTGTAAAATTGAAGAAGTAAATATGCTACCCTGGTCAACATGCCAACCCTTGTTTTAATAGTACAATCTTGGGCCATATGTGAACCTGGGACACTCCTAAGAAACAATGCCAGGATCGTCTCATGGGGGACATTCACATTTTTCCCATCATTATATATATAATCATTATATATAATCATTATATTATATATATATATATATATCACATACCATGGTTACCAGTTAGGGGGAGGGATAATTTATAATTTATTTGGTTGCGGCAACTGTTGATGCATTTTTATGCTCTTCTGTGAGCGATGTTCCTCGATTTACCTTGTCCTGTGACCTTTGGGACTCTGGGAAGTTGTACCTGTGTCTGCGGAATTCAAAAGACCCTGCAGTTGCTTAGGTTAACTTGGTTATGTAGACCTAATGAAGGGCTATATGCCGTATATGGCTTTGACGTTATTGAATTAGCCATATTCTTATTGTAACCGATGGTTCCTAAGGGAATTGTATTGCGTTCAATGTTTTTGGTTGTATAGTGTGTATTTATATCAATATATAATTTCGTTTAGAGTGATAAATTGTTTTGTTTTGTCTGCCTACATTCAGGGGCGGAACTACAGTGCCGCCAGACCCCGCAATGCTGGGGGCCCAGGCCGTTTAGGGGCCCACCGCCGACCGTAATCAATTTCTTTATAGTTAAACAAAATAATTTTCTTCTAGAAAAACAAACAGATCTACTTTAGTAGTGATGTTCTACAGTAGCTACCACACGCTGTTTCGTAAAGGAAAAAATTATACAGGCTACATGCGTTGTAGTGTGAAAGATAGGCAAACGTTCAAACCACTTCCATGACTTATTTCCCTTTTTTTAATAGTTAAATATGTGTGTTTTTAAGAAACTTTTAATAAAAACCTTATATACGTGTTAAATGTGGTAAATGTTTTACACGGGCTAGTAGTTTACAAACCCACCAAAGAATTCATACTGGAGAAAAACCTTACATGTGGTAAATGTTTCATTGATAATTGATGCTTACAGCAACACCTTAAAATTCATATTGCAGAAAAGCCATATAAGTGTGACAAATGTGGTAAATGTTTCACTCAGTTTTGTAATTTAAAGAGACACTATAGGATCCATACAGGAGAAAAGCCGTACAAGTGTGATGAATGTGGGACGAGTTTCATAGAAAGAAAAAGTTTACAGACACATCTTAATATTCATACTAACCAAAAATCCTACCAGTGTGAACAATGTGGTCAATGTTTTTTAAGGATGAGCCACTTAAAAAACATTCTGTAATTCACACAGAAGACAAGCCTTACATGTGTGAGAAATGCGGTAAATTTTTTCACAAGTTTTGGGATTTACAGAGACACCTTACAATTCATAGTAGAAAAAAACCTTAAAAATGTGATGGAAGTTTCACACTGCTTTGTGATGTACAAAAACACCTTGTAATCCATAAAGGGGAAAATCCTCACAAGTGTGACAAATGTGATAAATGTTATTTAAAGGTTAGCTCTTTGAAAAAACATCAAGTAGCTCATACAAGAGAAAGAATGCTTAAGTGTGACAAATGTGGTAAATGTTTCAAACAGACTAGTGATTTACAAAGACACCATAGAATTCATACTGATCAAAAACCTTACAAGTGTGACATATGTGGTAATTGTTTCAAAATGGCAATTTACACAGACGCAAAAGAATTCATACAGGAGAAAAAGCCATACATGTGTGACCAGTGTGGTAATAGTTTCTCCCAGCATTGCATTTTAAAGAGACACCTTAAAATTCATACAGGAGAAAAGCCTTACAAGTGTGGTGATTGTGGTAAATGCTTCAAACAGCTCCCACATTTGCAAAGCCACCATAGAATTCATACAGGAGAAAAGCCTTACATATGTAAGAAATGTGGTATATGCTTCAGACAGAGTAACGGATTACAGAACCATCTGAGAATTCATACAGGAGAAAAGCCTTAAGTTTGTAAGGTATGTTGTAAATGCTTTATTAGTCACATGAAGAGACTTCTTAGAATTCATACTTGAGAAAACTGATACATGTGTGACACAAGTGCGGTACAAGTCTCAGGCCTCACATTTACATATCCACCAAAGACTTCATATTTACAGATCCACAAGACTTCACATTTACATATCCACCATAGACTTCACATTTAAAGACCCATCATAGATCTAACATTTACAGATCCACCATAGACTTCACATTTACAGATCCACTATAGACTTCACATTTGAGAACATCCTTACAAATGTTGTAATTGTTTTTCACATAAGTAACATTTTACAGAAGCATTACAAATGTGGGAAAAATTTTCACAAAGAGACAACAGAGGCATCATTATTTTTTTCCCCATATTTTTAATATTTTGTTAACCATCAAAAGAATCCATAAAGAAAATGTCGTTGAAAATCTCTAAGAGCTATGTAGAAAATCTCCTTGTGGATTGTGTTGCTTTGTGAAAAAAACATTTTTTTATTGTTGTGGTTTGCCAGTATTAAATTTTTAATATCTAGTTTTTATTGATAATTTTAAAAAATTGACCCTGCTTGTCTGTACAACCAGCCAATTCTAGTCTAATTGATGAGGGTTTAGTTTAAGGTACCAGGCCAAGCAGTAGCGTACGCAGGGGGGGGAGCAGGGGGAGCGGCCGCTCCCCCTCTGGCCATTTTCATCAAAGTGGCGCCTTTTTGGAAACTTTTTAAACGCAAATATTTAAACAATGATATTCGTTAAAAAAATACTTTTGGTCGGCACATCTATGTAAATCACAAGATTTCTTTTCATGCAGCAATTAAGCATTATTGTACTAGTCTAGTAGTTTCTACGTTTACAACACGTATTAACAGCTGCATCAGTTTGCCATTCTAAAAATAACCAT